GCTTTTAGGGTTTGGCTCCCTTCATTGTCATCGCGGCACTGCGATTAGTCTCTTCTTCTTATCCGCACCAATTTCCGCCGTCCGCACCCGCGGCACGCCGGTCGGCACGCTAACAGCCTAACAGTGGTCGCGCCCTCGTTCGGCGTCGCGTAGCGTGGCGTGGCGTAGCGTGGCGTAGCGTGGCGTAGCGTGGCGTAGCGTGGCGTCGTCGCCGGGGAAGTGCCACCTTGCTGCCTCGCCACTCCACGACACGTCCACGACACGTCCGTTTGCGCACCCGCTTTGCTTTTTGCTTTTGTTTGTTTTTCCCCTCATCAGTCATTTCCCTGGCAGGAAAGGGAGAGTGGGAGGGGGCCGTGCATATCATGGCGGCTACTGCCAGATTAATCCTCGGGATAAGAGCATGGCAGCTCGGCGGCGCGTCACGTCAGCGGGATGACTCCGAGCGTAGTGTTCTGTCTCTCTCGCACTCGAGGGGCGTCCCGGCGGGATGTGTGTGAGGGAGAGAGAGGGAGGGGGCGACGAGGCACTGTTCGGGATCGCACCTTGGGAGTGTCACTCATACTCGGTGCTCTTCCCAGTCCGGTCACGGCGCCGACGGGAAGGGGCCGAGGAAGGGCCGACTGCCTGCCTGCGCCCCTGGAGGGGCCCTCGAAGGGCTCTCGAAGGGCTCCTCGAAGGGCCCCAAGGGTTCTGTCGAGACCCACCTGAGAAACGCAGAGCTTTGGACCCGTCTTTGCCTCGAAGTGGGACCGTCCATCCAAAAGGCGCGCCCCAATTAGCCTAAATCAAAAGCATGACGTCGGACGGCGACTCGTATTCGCTGGCGACCGAGACGGTGCTAAATTGGCGCTGGAATCCCGGCTCATTCAGGTAAACTCGCAGTACCTTATTTCGAGAGAATGCGCACCACACAATTCAGCTTGTTTACTCTCCTGCACCGCGTGCACCGTGCACCCCCGCCAGCGTGCGAGGGGGGCGGAGAGAGAGGAGGTTTGACGGAACGTGGACGAGTTCGGTCGTAGTGCCAGCCTGCCCGCCCCGCCCCGCCCCGCCCCGCCCCGCCTTGGCACTCCATGACTGGGTTGGGCGCACTCTGATGTCGAAGGCATGCTGCCCGTCTGGTTCCCCCCTCTCCCTCTCTCTTCCTCTCATTCTCCTTTCGCTTCCCCTCGCCTACCTTCTCCTGCTCCCAGCAGGGACCCCGCGTGTGTGTGAGTGAGTGCGTGGACGCCGCTGCTGAAAAACACTGTAAAACGTGGCAGGAATGCATTCGTTTGGTCGCCGTTCGGACACGTTCTTTATGCGAAAAGGGTCGGCTTGCAGGGTCCGTCCGCGTGGTTCTGGTGGACGCGAGTCGAAGCGATTGAAACTCCCCAGAGAAAGCAAGTCTTCGGTGCGGCCTGGAGTTTGCGAGGATTGGCGGTGATGCTGCTCGAGTCCTGCCATCCTCCACGCAGTGTGGGCCGTGGGCAGTGCAGTGTGCTGCAGGCGTGCTGCACCGGCTGCTGGCCGCTTTCATGGCCATTTTTATTGCGGCTTTGTGGGCGACCAACCACACGGGGGGCCTAGCCTGGCCTAGCCCGGCCTAGCCTAGCCTGGCCTAGCCTGGCTGCACCTGCAGCGGCAGCGGCGCCACCGATGCTAATTGTCATCGAACACACAGAGTCTGGCATTGTGCGCAGAGCGTTGCCGATTGACCATCTTGCGAGTGTAGGGCCATGGCTGCCATGCCCGGCCATGCCCGTCAAGCGAGGAGGCCGTCGAGGAGGCCGTCGAGGAGGCCGTCGAGGAGGCCGTCGAGGAGGCCGTCGAGGAGGCCGCCGAGGAGGCCGCCGAGGAGGCCGTCGAGGAGGCCGTCGAGGAGGCCGTCGAGGAGGCCGTCGAGGAGGACGTCGAGGAGGCCGTCGAGGAGGCCGTCGAGGAGGCCGCCGAGGAGGCCGTCGAGGAGGCCGCCGAGGAGGCCGCCGAGGAGGCCGCCGAGGAGGCCGTCGAGGAGGCCGTCGAGGAGGCCGTCGAGGAGGCCGTCGAGGAGGCCGCCGAGGAGGCCGCCGAGGAGGCCGTCGAGGAGGCCGTCGAGGAGGCCGTCGAGGAGGCCGTCGAGGAGGACGTCGAGGAGGCCGTCGAGGAACCCGTCGCCATGCACGTGCCGACGTGCCGAAGCGCGGCAACAGCGGGGCGCTATGGCGGGGCGCGGGGCGCGACGTCCGCGACGTGGCCGCGTCACCTGACACGTCCGACCGCCGCGTCGCGTCGCCGCGTCACTCTGTTTACATTCTGCCAGCTTTGTTCTTCTTTTTGGCGCGGCCAGTGCGGCCAGTGCGGCGCTCCTTCCTCCTCCCTCCGCCTTCCTTCCCGCCGCCTTTGTCAGCAAACTGGAACTGAGTCGCTTGGCGACTTGGCGGGGCCTCGCGGGGCCTCGCGGGGCTTGGCGGCCTCACTGCGAGGCGTCGCTGCAGCTCAAAGAAAAGCCAGTCGATTCTCCGCCGCCTCCCCCTCCCCCTTTTCTCACACCTGTGTGCACGCGCGCCACTCCCAGGTGACACGAAGCACGAGGTTCAAGGTTCGCGTCCCGCCGAGGCCTGCCCGCTGGCATTAATTTCTGCGTGCTGCGGTCCTGCGGGCTGTTCCCGTTGCGCGGTCGGCGGCTGTGTTCGCGTGCACAATTTCTTCCTGAGGCATCCCCCCGAAAAAAAGATTCCAAAAAGACTTGGACGTGGCCGGCGTTGGATGCTTGGCGTCGTGCTCGGCGTCGTGCTCGCGCAGGAGGAACTGGTTCTCTGGTTCGCTCCCCCCGCCCCTTTTTCATTTCCAAACCCAGGGTCGAGGCCATTTATGATGTCCATTTCGGGTCGTTAATTAGCATATACGCTACACCAGCGATGTGCGTCCCAAAGTGGCATTTCGCATCTCTCTCGCTCTGATGGGCCAGGCAGTCCGCGCGAGAGAGACGGCTGCTGCCGCAAGGGTTCGATTGGGTGCCCCGGGTGCCCTGGCCGCCCTGGTCCAATCTGTACCGGCCGAGGACGCGCTCCTCGAGGCAGGCCACACTGTCAAAAAGGTGTGGGGCGGCGCGTATGACGCAACCCGCGGTACTTTCTACTATTACTATTAATTTATGAATAGATGTTGCGAGGCCGGCTGGCGGGGCTGGCGGGGCGACGCGTGGGCTCAACGGCCTGCCCTGGCTGCCCTGGCCTGCCCTTCCAAATGGGGGCGTCGGAACGCACCGGCACTGTTAGGTAAAGCAGCGCGTGCCAAGCGGTTTGCCTTTCGGGAAACAGTTCTCAGATTCTCACTCGAATCGGAAAAAAAAATGGAGGAAGCCGCAAATAATTGCGTTTGAACGTACGTACGTGAGTTTTTTTTTCTGAGGCCGAAAGACAATAAATGTGTGTCACGTCCCCGACGAGGGCGTGTGGCCCGTGTGGGCAGTGTGGGCAGTGCTGGGCGTTGTTCCGTTCTAGATGCCGCGCCGCTGGATCCAGATAGCAGGCCGCGGCCTTTCCTTTCCGCCTTTTCGGACTTTCGGTCGCTCCCAAGTCGGAGTCCCCTCCCTTCTCCGATGCACTGCGCCACTGCGTCCGTCCGCACTGCGTCCGTCCGCACTGCGCCCGGGCCGCGTCCGCCCACGGCCCTAACGGAACGGAAGTGGACACGGGACGACGCGCCATCAGCCGGCCTAGCCGAGGCCTGGCTTCCCTGGCTGCCCTGGCTCTCCCGATCCAATCCGCCACCATCCATCACACGGCAAAAAATTAGACTCGAACCATCGGGACGCACCAATCAGTTTGTCAATTTGGAAGAAGTTCATCAAAATTGTCAATCGATTCAGTGCATTTCGAATTTCATGTCAGTGTAGCAAATCAATTCATTATTATTTCTTTCGTGCACAACGTTTACCGGACTTTTGTCGCTTGTTTTCCGAAATGGCGTCGCGGCGCTGCTTTCTCCTATAATCGGCCCGCGTCGCGTCGCGTCGCGTCGCCGCTCTTCGTCGCGACTCGGCTCGGCTTGACGCGACCAGAGACGCGGCTTGACGCGGCGCTGCCACGGCACTGCGCTGTTAGCGCCGCTAGGCGAGATGCGCTCGAATTAGGAGTCGCGAGTCGGCGACACGTCAGCGACGTCAGCGCTCAGTGACTTCCTCCACACGCAGGGCCGCAGGCTGATGCCGAACCGCGCTTCGCCGCTGTCTCTGTCGCACTCGTTGGGCGTGCGGTGCGAGTGGGTGCGAGAGAGACAGCGCGACGAGCCCTCGGAATGAGCCCGCTGGCCCCGGGCCCGCCACGGCCCGCCACGGCGCGCCGATGGAGACGTCCGATTTCAATAACAGCTCGCATGTGTGTGCTATCTGGCCGCGCCGCGCCGCGCGCCTCCAGCCCGGGACGGTGATAGTGTGGACGATAGTAGTGACACTGGTGGCGTAATCCCCGGCGGGATTTGAATTGAATCTCATTGTGCTTGGTGCCTGGGGCTGCCCCGGGCCCTTTGTGTACTTCGATACCTCGATGCCACTTTCCCTGCGCGGCGTGGCCGTGCCGAGGGCCGTGCCCATACATACTCCTCATCGCACTCTCCTCGACCCCCATTGCTCCCCCATTGACTAATGCCCTCGGCCCCTCGGGGGGAGCCTGGCCTGGCCGCCGTAAGCCCTTGGTTAAACACCTCTCTCACTTCCTCAAAGTATTCCGCTCTCTGTCGGCCGACGCTCTAAGCGCCTTACGGCGTCCGACTGCGTCGCGGCGTCGCGGCGTCGCGGCCCATCGTTTCGAGAGCCTCGCTTCGCTCCCTTCGCTCCTCGTTGCGTAAAATGAACGCCTCTGCCGCGTGCCGTGCACGGCGTGCACGTGGGCCGCGGACGGCCGAGCGATTCACCGCCCTGTGTCTCTCTATCCCCATAAGAGCGACGCAGACACAACGGCGAAGTGACTCTTCTTGGGAACGAGTGTCCTGTTGACGCCCTCTCATCCACGCCCTTGTCCTTGTTCTGCCCGCAGGTCAGCATCTGGTGCTGGTCACGGACCCCGAGAAGGGCGGCGACTACGCCTTCGACAACCCCTGCTTCAAAGGTGAGTCTCATTCGAGGTTTGTTTGACTGGCTTCAAAGCACGGTATTCCAACACATTCCTTTCTCTCTCTCTCTCCCCGCAGATGCCACCCCCGTGTCCAAGTCCGTGCTGGAGCCGGCCAAGGCGGACCAAAAGGTGAGCGGATTTACTTCCGGAGGGGCGCCGTACCGCCACGCCACGCCACGCCACGCCACGCCACGCCACGCCACGCCAGCCTCGCCGCAGGCCCACGGCTACCGCCAGCCTCGCGACGCGGCCCGCGGCTTGCCTGTCCATCTGAGGCTCTGTGCGCGGCGCCGCGGCGAGGCGTCGAAGCCGTGACCTGATTGGCGCCGATGTAGCCCGCGATGGTCATGACGGTCATGATGGTCATCCCGCTGGCCGCGGGGGGCGTGGAGGGGCGTGCCTCGGGCTCGGCGAACGTCGCGCCGTGTTTCGGATGTCTTTTTTTCGTGAACACCGACAAGCTATGGAATGTTCCGACCGAAACTTAAATTTTGTGAGATGTGACTCCACGACGCCCTGAGTAGCTCTCTCGCTGCTGGCCGTCGGTGGGACGCGGTCCCCGAATCGCTTTCGAAAACGGAAGAAGCTCGCTCGCGCAGCTCGAGCACACCTGCTGAGCTGAGCCGGGCCGGCGCGTCACCGCCGCACCGCCGGCGTCACGAGGGCCGGAACCGAGCGGAACCGAAGAACCGAAGCCTCCCGCCGTTTCCGTCCTCGTCTAGTGAATGGAAACGGGGGAGTGGGCGTGGCGGCGTGGCGGCCCGGCGAGGCGTACGTCGCGCGCATACATGAATCTGTGATTGAATTAATGAACGGACCGAACGAGTGGCCGGCCGATGGACCAGACGGGCTGTCGGGTAAAGCACCGCGCCGGCGGCGTGCTTGGCGGGCTTGGCGTGCTTCCCGAGGCGCGGCTCTGCATAAATTACTCGCGGCTGGCATTGGTCGCGGTTCGCGCCCCGCCGCCGCTCCCTTTACAGTTTTTCCTCATGTCGTGTTTTTCGTTTGCAGAACAACAAGTGGACGTCCTGGGGCGGCCTCGGCGCCATCCGCAACAACCTGGGCGGGCTGCAGGGCGAGAAGCGCAGGGCCATGGACGACTCGTACACGGGCGCCACCACGGTGAGGGCCTTGGCGAGCTAAAATGAACGGGCGGGGCGGGGCGGCTAATAATCTGGGCGGGAATTGGCGTCCCCGCTTTTATCTGCTGGTTTTACCGGTGTAGGTGCAGCGAACGTGGCGTCCCCCTTCGGCACCCTCCGGCCGATAAGAAAGCGCGCCTTATCGGCACTCGAAGGCCCGCAAGGCTGTAAGGCTGAAAGGACGAAAACAAGCCAAACAAGCGAATAAAGCATGCGTGCTGCACGCGCCGGAAATGAAAGCCATCACTCGATAGATTGACTCAAGCGTACAACCATAGCGCGATAGATGCACCTCGCGCCCGGAGGGTATGCAACACGGCGCCGCGGTGCCTACGCTGCAGGCGCTTTGGCCGGTCATTGGTGCTGCCGCCCCGGCATGCCTAGCCTCGACATGCCCAGACCCGACCCGACCCGACCTGGCTGTGACACTCGCTTTCTTTTTCTTTTCCCAGGAGCCGCAGGTGACACAGGTGCTGCTGCGCAGCCACGACTTCACCGGCCTGGGCTTCAACATCTGCGGCAACATGCGGGACGGCATCTTCGTCAAGGACGTCCTGCACCGCGGCCCCGCGTCCGAGTCCAAGCTCATCTTCCCCGGTGAGGATCGCCGCCGCGGCGCTGCGGCGCTGGGTGCACAGGGGTGCACTCGACGTCCTGCTCTAGGCTCTTGACTTGACACCCGCGTGTTGCAGGCGACCGCATCCACGGCATCCGCATCAGCCTGCGCCACATGGTGTTCGAGGACGCCCTCACCATCCTGTCGTACGCTTCGCCCTACGAGGTGACCCTCGAGGTGGAGACCGGCACGGCCTCGGGCGCGTCCTCGCGGCCGTCGTCGCTGCTGCGCCGCGAGAAGGAGAAGGAGGCCCTGGCCAGCCTGGCGGCCGCGGACCGCATCGTGCACCCGTTCTACCGCAGCCAGTCCATCGCGGACCTCGCGCAGGTGCGTCGTCCTCGTCACGCACACACACACTCTCTCAGCCCCTCTGCCTTGCTCACGCTCACCCTTGTCCTTTTCCGTTGCAGATCGGCAAGGCGACGCACAAGCGCGCGCACACTGCGGACTCGCCGTCGCGCAGTGAGCACGGCGACTACCCGACCCTCAAGCTGCACAGCGCGCAGACCAGCCCCGCGCACGCGCAGGCCGTGCAGGCGGCGCACGGCCCCACGCTGCACACCAGCACGCCGCACGCGCACGCCGCGCACGCACGCCTCGAGCAGGCCGCGGCCGTCATCAAGCCGGAGCGCACCAGCGTGCACGCCGTGCACAAGCTGGGCGTGCGCGTGCTGCCCGCCGCCGGGGAGCCCACGGAGAAGCGGCAGAACGTGCACAACACGTACCTGGAGCGCGGCATCGACGTGCCCGACGGCTACAACCCCTACGCGCCCGCCCAGCCGGCCCAGCCGGCCCAGCCCCCATCGCCGCAAGAAGGCTTCCACGACGTGGACCTCGGCGGCGACAAGGCCTCGGCCCCGGAGGAGCACCACAAGGTGGGCGTCGTCGCTAAGGAAGTCAAGACCAAGATCAGCAAGGGTTTCCACAATCTACTGCACTCGTTGGACCGCCACAAGAAGAACGCGCCCGCCGCGGAGGCCAGGCCAGCATCACCGTCGCCCTCGCCCACTGCGGACACCACCAACGCCTCGATGATCGTCAACACGTCGCTGGCCTCTGCCGACTCCGAGGTGATGACGCGGAAGCCGAGTGGCAGGGGCATCCCGACCGAGATCCCAGAGGAGGTCCGCCTGGCCGCCATGGCCGCCAGGAGCAACCGCAAGTCGCTCGGCGCGCTCTCCGTCGAGGTGATCGAGTCCGCCGTCGTGGCGGAGGCCGACCGGGCCTCGGCCAGTCCAGGCGGCAGCGACAGGCAAGGCGTCCCCAAGCGCAAGGGCCTCGCGCCGCGACCGCCCTCCGCCCCCGTCACTCCCGGCGCCGCCTCGGCCGAGGCCATCACGCCCATGGCATCACCCTCGTCCCTGGCCTCGTCCCCGGCCTCGGCCTCAGTCGCACTAGTCAACGGCATGAGCGGCGACGAGTCCCTGCTGTCGCTGCAGTCCCTGCACTCGCTGCCCATGCACTCGGACTCGGAGTCCGAGGCGGACAGCCCCCTTCCGCCCGGCCTGGCCTCCGGACCGCGGACCACCATCGAGCTGACGTCATCACACGTGACCGTGCACCACAGCCATGGCCTCGGCCTCGACGACGACACGACCCGCAAGGCGGCCTCCCTGGGCGACTTGTCCCGCATCGGCGACAAGCTGACGGGCGTGGCCGTGCTGGAGAGAGCCGTCTCCCTGGACCTGGACGCGCCCAGCCACGGCAAGAAGCGCAAGGCCCCGGCAGCACCCGCCACAGAGGCCGATGACCTGGACGACGACCTCTCCCTGGACGCCATGGATGACGCCGGCGTGTACGGCATGGGGCGGAAGGAGCCCCGCCTGGACATGGTGGTCATGGGCATGAACACTTTCGAGCGGAGCCGGCTGAAGAAGTCCTCCGACTGGGGCACGCTGGAGGAGGCCTTGGCCTCGGACAGCAGCCAGGTGCATGTGCTCACTTCCACGGCCCCCACTGTGGCCGAGCTCCACCCGAAGGGTGAGCTCAAGAACTCGTTCTTCGTTGGGGGTAGGAATTTCGGCCTGGATGGTCCCTTGACCTCCGATGAACAGCCCTTCAGCTTCACGGCCTCCTCGATGGAGCCCTTGAGCATCGAGGTGCGCGCCGAGGCGTCGCCGGCTGGGCCTTCCCCGGCCGTGGCCTCGACGAGCAGCTCGGACCGCGACGACCGCGACAGGGTGCTGTGGTCCGTCCCGGGCGAGAGTGGTCAGGCCGGCCCGGCGAGGATCAGCGTCAACAGCTCGATGGACGTGGACCCCGCGCTCCCCGCGTCCGGGCCCACCTCGCTCAGCTCCCTCACCATCGTCAGCTCGACGCCGATGCGGCCCAGCCACGACGTCGCCAGAGACGCCGTGCAGTCCCCCCTCGTGTCGTCCAGCGAAGTGAACCGAGCCCTGGTGTCCTCCTCGTCGGCGGCCTTCGTGTCTACCACGCAGCTCAACTCGCTGGAGCAGGACACCGCGGACGCTGCCTTTCTGACCGCCGTGGACTCGTCCACGCTCATGCTGGACGCCGCAGACGTGGACTCTGACGACGAGGCAGCGTCCTCGTCACCGCCTGAGCTGCCCACCTCTCCCGTGCCCATGTCCTCCCTCACGTACGTCACGGAGATCCAGGTGACTACCCCTGGCTCGTCCAAGGTTCACAACGGCTTCTCGTCGCCGCCCCAGAGTCCCCGCAGCAGCAGTCCTGTCGCCTTGGGCGAGGACACCCCCAAGGCAGCTGAGGTGACCGTGTCGCCAGCGTCGTCTCCGGAGCTATCCAACCTCGAGCAGTCCGTAGTGAACGTCAACGGCGACATCAACGGCCGCGACGCGTCACCCGCAGCTCTGCCCTCGGCGTCTCCCTCGGCGTCTCCCTCGGCGTCTCCCTCGGCGTCTCCCTCGGCGTCGCCCTCCGCCTCGCCCTCCGCGTCGCCGTCGACTCCCACGGCGTCGCCCTCCGCGACCGCGACGACGCCCAAGGCGGGCAGGAACGTGAGCGTGACCGCCATCCAGGGGTCGCGCATCCCCGTGCGGTCGGCCGGGTCGGCCAGCCACAGCCCCGACGCCTCTCCGGCGCGGGGCAGTGCAGGGAACGCCGGGAGTGGCGGCCCCAGCGGGGCGTCGCCGGCCACCTCGCCGTTGCGGCCCCCCGTGCCCGCCAGGCGGACAGGCGACCTCACGCCGCGCAAGGCCAACGGCGCCAACGGCGCCAACGGCGTCCAGATCGTGTCCACGGAGCATGCGCCATGAACGCCGGCAAGGCCCTGTTCCAGGTCGCAGCCAGCAGTGCGGACCTTGTGATTCTTGAAACAATGTGTCATATCTATGCAAGCAAGTAGAATCCCCCGAAAATAAAATTAAGCAGCAAATGAAGCCCTGAGTGAAATTTGCTCAAGTGATTTGCTGGAAGAAAATTGTCTGTTGGTTTTGCTGTAACAGAAATGCATTTAGCTGCTACGGGATGGATGCAGGTCACTATGCCTGGGTATACTTTTTCAACTTGAAATTTGGTAAAGTTTCATTTTGGCGGAAGACTTTTTAGTGTTTACTGGTATTTATAATTTATTTATTTTATAAAGGTTTGCTTTTTGGAGTGTCTAAGATCAATCCATCAATTATGTTGCTATGAGATTCTCTGGTTCTTTGATGTTGAGTTTTACATTCCAGTCAAGTATTAAAAGTAAATTGTAATGGTAATGAAGGGTTGGTTTCCTCATCAGAGACAGCAAGGAGGTGCTAGTACAAACAGTCGCTTGTGCCAAACACCTGCTATTAAAAGCCCTGTTATTTGCGTTTTCGTGATGGTAATTTAGAGCAGGTTTCAGGCACATCTATAGCTGCACCTCATTGGCTGACATTGTTCTCAAGCAATTTCAATGAATTGATGTGTAGGAATGTCTGTAAACTACAGAGCTATAAGTGCCCTGATTTCATTTAGCCATCTGTTGTCAATATTGTTGTTACCTAGACGGTTTGTACATAGCATGTAAATTATGTATTTTTATTGTCCTAATTAAGTAGTTTTTTTAAACAATTGTTGTGCAATGACATTTTAAAGAGAGCATGTTTGTTATGATCTGTGCCACTGACTTGTACCATTTATTATAGGTAAGAAGGGTTTAATAAAATGTTGATATTTTTTTAAATTGCAAAATCAAATGTGGATTGAAGTTTTTATCTGCTAACCACAACATTTATGTCTGTGCCATGAACTATCAATAATAATTCTTGGTGGGTCCTGCAGTGTGTCGGAGGTATCCTTGTTTTTGTTTTATTTTTATGTTGTTCACCAACAAGTGGTTGAATGTGTATGGTCGCCACAAAATTAAAGCTCATTCTGTTTTATAAATGTGACAATTTGTCATAAATAAAATTGTTAAAAAATAAAACATCCTTTTCTGGAGTATTTCCCCATCATTTCCCTGTTGGAGTCTGCCAGATGCAGTCAACAAATCAAATGGCATAAACTTGACAAGACACGTCACGAACAAAATTTTCTTCCTTCCTGTAGGTGGTGGGTTGTTTTAAACCCTATATGCATACAGAAAACTAGAGGCACCTTAGTAAGGTGGCTGGGCTGGGTGTGGTCACTTTGTTCCTCTCTTTCCTTCGAACTTCAAACACAGCGCCAGCACAAGAACAGTCTGCGAATAATAGTCAGCGGCAGAAAAGCTCCACCAATCAGAACACGTTTCGGTGGCTATTCGCAGAACGGAGAGGGCCTTCGCTCCCGCCAACTTGCCGGCACCCCTCACCCCCTCTTCGCGTCCTCTCACTACCGCTCCCCCCTCTCCCCCCGTGCCCCACAAACCGGCTTATTTGGTTACGGAAAACGACATTCAATCATCAACAGAAGGATTGTTTGAGAAAAATAAAGCGAGTACGAGGCTTCGCAGCGCCTCCACATATTTTAAGACATGTTTTGGCCGAAATTATTTCTGTTTATTTGTTCCCTTGTTCTTGCCAAGTGTGCTACCGGCAAGGAGAATGTCAGAGATGGAGGTATGTGTCTTTAACCTTGTTTTGAAACTAGTGTTATTTTTGCCATTAGTAGCAACAATGTCTCATTTTCTGTAATTTTCTTGAGAGACGTTTCTTCTTTTTTTTTTATGTCATGTTGTATTATTTATGAAATGTATCTGTCTGTGCTTCATTGACCACTTCTCTTCTTTTTACTTTTAGCGCTCAATCTTATTCCTGGAGAAACACTTCGTTGTTGTGATTCATTACGAGCCAGAGAGCTGCAGACGTACTGCTACAGTGGCAGACCGAAACACATCTTACACATTTGGCAGACTGTTTTGGTAATAATGTCAATAAAGATCCTCAAAACATTTATTTTCTGAATTCTAGTACTGATTGGTTTGCTTTTACCCTGTTAGCTGAAGATTCAAACGACCTCTGACAATTTTGAAATCTATGATGGAGGATCTCCAGAGGCAGTTCAGGCGGCCTACGAACAACATCAGTCATCGTGGAGTTTCAACTTGATTTGGGGTGCTCGGAAAGGAAGAGAGGTGAAGCTCTCTCCCTTCAATCGTAGCTGTATTGGCATTAGTAGTTCAAAAGACTATTCCGTGTACTTACATGTGATTCGTAAGTAATTACAATACCTCAGCAAAACATGTCAATTTAAATTGAAATTTTTAATTATTCTGTAACTAAGTCATTCAAAACAATTTTGTTAATTACAGGTGTAGATTATTGGCGAGTCTTACTCTTAGTATGTGGACTTATCTTGTTTTTATCAGCTCCTCGCCTGTGCGAAAACACTCTGTTTTATTATATAAATGGTGTTTCTATCGGAATGTTAGCATCATTCCTTATTCTTATATACATGATCAGTCGTCTACTTCCTAGAGTAAGTTTTAGCATAATTCTATTGTATTTGGCCTTTGTATGTTTTCTGTGTTTGACTTGACATTTTTTTTGTGTTCCAGAAACCTATGATGTATGGATTTGTGTTTGGAGGGTGGGCTGTGGTGGTGTACCTCTTCCAAATGTTATGGGACAACCTGCGGATTGTACTTGTAGATTACAGACTCTACGTCCTGTCATACGTTGCCATTACAGGATTCCTGAGTTTCATCGTATGCTACAGATTTGGTCCTGTTACTGATAAACGTAGTATAAACCTTATCAAGTGGTCACTTCAGGTACGATATTGATGTTTGAAGTTGAATGGCATGTTATGTAATCTTTGTTCGTAGTGCAACATGGAATAGCTACCTTTCTTGTAAAATCAGATTTTTTTTCTGCCTCCTTTATTTTGTCTTATTTTGTTGCTCATTACTGGCATGTGCTTTATGTGTGTTAGACGCTTTTTTTTGTTTGCTGCAGGGCATCTCTATGATCATAATCCTATGCAGCAGCCAATTCCAGGAAGCAACTGTTGCCATTGTCCTTATTCTTGTTGCACTTTACAACTTTCCCAAAGTGTTGGTATCCAAGGCAGTATCTCAATGGTAAGGATTAGTCTCAAAGGAATGCCTGAAAATTATTTTCTGTGATTACAGATATCGTGGTCACCATAATAACAATGTGGAGAATGAATATGCAAGCCCTAGAAAACGATTCAAACATTCTAATGAAAATAAAAGTACTTAGCCACTTCAGTTTAACTTTGTATAAATTTAATAAATATGTATCATTATTCTAGTATCAATCAAAATAAATCCTCTCCATTCATTGACCATAGTCCTTAACATTCTAAAGCTCTTTGAAGAGTTTTCTTTGCTTTATATTTACTGTATTGTTTTAGTATGTGTCCAATTTCATGTGTAAATAATAGCATATTTTATGAAATGTAGGTAGTCATTGTAATAACATTCCATAAGTTCTTCTCCACTTTGTTTTTGTTTTCTTGTTCACCTTTTCCTATGCATGCTAATTAGGAAAATGTGGTAAGTTTAGTTTGTTGTTGATGAGAAGGATCTGTACCCTCTCATTTATTTTTGAATGATTGTTTCTTGTGTTCAGGAAACGACGTTTTCCCCCTAAAGTTGAGCTGTTGTCAGATGACCAATACCATGAGCAGGGAGTTCGTGAGACTCAAAAAGCTCTTGATGAGCTGCGGGGTTACTGTTCAAGCCCTGACTGCAACCAGTGGAAAACAGTTCTCCGCTTAAAAGATCCTGTGAGGTAGGAATTGTATTAAGATCTGTTTTTGAAAGGGGTTCAGATTACACTTTTCAACCTTGATTTGGTGGTGTTCCTGCACAGGTTTGCAAGCTTTGTCGAAGGAAAGTCTCATTTGGTTGACCGTGAAGTCCTGGACTATGAAACTGCAACACCTAGAGAACTTGATTATTCAGAAGATTCTGAATTGGACTTAACTGATTAATTTATTTTATAGTAAATCTAGATATAATACCATAAAACAGGTTTTGTTTTACATGTTTTGTTTTTTCTTTTGGGAGGTTGTTTTAGTGCCTTTTGTACACAGCTGTTCTCTGTCTGTACACTGTGTCTATTTATTGTAACTGAACATCTGTTTATATCATTTGATGTGACTGAAACTGTGAAATATTCATAATTTATTTTCTGTAAAGTGTCTGTTTCTATGAGAAACTTAGTTCTCATTTGTAGGTTTGTTTTATTTTTAGTGTAATATTTTAAGTGTGTTAAACCTCCTTTGTCATCTAGAAGTTAACTTATTCTTAAATTGCTCAGCCACTTTAATTTGTACAACCTTTTAATGTCAATCCACATAATCAATGGATTTTGTAACACTGTTTAAGAATGAATTCTTGTTTATTTTTGCTCATCTCACTTCATCCTCGATTGTGTTTGCAGCATCCTTTCACTTTGGCCTGAAGTATTTTATATTGTACTCCCTTCTCAACATCTGATCTCTGTTGCTAGTCAATAATTAAGAGGCCTCACTTTGCAGATTCAATTAATGAATTTCAATCCTGAAGTAATGTTTTTTTTTGTTTCATGTTTATAGCCCCTTTGGTCCAATTATTTCATTCTTGACGAGTATTTTGTCTTCCTCTTATATGAATAATAAGTTTGTAATGTGATTTATTTGTAATAAATCTCTCTATTTGACATGTATTTTTTGTGTCTTATTTATGCATTTCTCTTTCATTATGAGCTGTTTATTATGAAACATATGAGACTTTAAATCAAACATAATGATACTAGCACCAGATTTTATTCTTTGCCAATCAAAGACTGCAATTGCCTCAGATGAAAGTCTACCACTAAAGGAGGCCCTTTAGGACAAACTCAGGCAAGTCAGTCTTTGCAACCTGAACACAAGGAAATGAGCTGGGGACAATAAATAAAGTATACTCTGAAATGGGCACAACTTGCACACAAAGTAAGGACTCGGCAAGATGTGTTTGGCATTTAGCACGGAAAGCATGGCACTGACCAAATGAAAGCAGCTTATCTGACTGCATTGTGGCGGCAGTGAACACAGATTAGATAAGTTCTCACAATATCCCGTCTTTCTGGATCCTTCTGAGATAAAATAGGAGTTGAATTTCAATGCACGCTTTCTTCAACTCGTCATTATGCGACTCAAATATCAAATCTTTGCTCATACTTTGACATGGAGGCATACAAGGTAATTCACAATTCTTTAACTGCCTTTCTACGATGAAACTCTCGTAGAATATAGTTTATACTATCGGCGTAGGGCAACCCAGAGTGACAGCGCGGTGCCCTAGTCGGCGTCCTAGTCGGCGCCTTGAAGGGCGCCTCACTTGCCGTAGCCCTGGTCGAAGCCGGGCTTGGGGTGCTCGGGCTGCTTCTCCTGCTGCTGCTTGCGCAGCACCTCGTTCCGGGACTCCTGCACCAGGTTCTGGATGGGCTCGGCCATGACGCGGCGCACCCAGTCCGCGTCCACGGCGGAGAAGGCGGTGGGCGACTTGGGGCCCTCGGGGGCGGACACCATGGACGGGTGGCAGCCCACGTCCCAGCTGTAGACGCCGGCCAGCACCATGGCGCCGTCGGGCTTGGGGCACGCCAGCGGGCCGCCGGGGTCCACCATGCACAGGGTGGTCTCGGGCTTGGTGGCGAGCGCGCACACCTGCAAGTCACGGGTGCGTGAGTGCGGTTCCGGAGAGTCGTCTCGTGGCGCTGTCTCTCTCGCACCCGCACGGTAGACCCCACGAGTGCGACGGAGACAGCACGGCGTCCGTCTGCCGCAACCACAGCCCCCAGCGGTGTGGCCTGGGCTGCCTGGGCCGGCCGCAGAGCCACCGCGGCGGGGAGCGCCTTGAGAGTAGGCAGTCCTGTTGCGCTCAGACGTCGTGCGGTACAGCCTACCCCTCGTCTCGCAGGCGCTCCGCTCGCCGCGGCCTGTCTGCCCAGGCACACTGCCTTTGGCGGTACTTTTGGCGGGAAAACTCGAACGCGTGTCGTCACGTCCTCACCTGTGATTGGTGCATCCGGAAGTTGGGTCCCAGGAAGGTGCGCCGGAGGTGCTGCTCCGCCTCCTGCGCCGCCATGAGCCGCGCGGGCACCGCGTTCAGGCCCGAGCCGACGTGGTTGCCTGCAAAGCCGTGCTTGCGTTAGTTTTCAATTGACGGAAGTGCTTCGGATTATTTCCCGCGGCAGCCACTCACCCTTGAGGGCCTTGAGGCCCCAGCCAGTGGCGACGCAGTCCTGGGCGGGGTTGGTCCCCGCCAGGTTGGCCTGGCCGGACTGCTCGGGCAGGCAGACGGTGCCGACGCGCTCGCCCAGGGTCAGGGGCTCGGCCAGGCGCAGCACGGCGTGGTCGTTGAACAACGACGTGGGGTTGAAGTCAGGGTGGCGGGCGATGGCGGCCACGGACGTCTCCTGCGCGCCGGGGTCCGGCACGCCCATCAGGTGCTCGCCGGCGATCACCATCAGGTCGCTCGGCTCCATCCTGCACCACAGCGGGGACGTCAAATCACTCTTCCGCGCTGCTTCGCTACAGAGTCCGGCGGCCACCTCGGCTGGGTCACTCACCCGTGCACGCAGTGGGCGGCCGTGATGACGGCGTCCTTGGACAGCACGGCGGCGCCGCAGATGGGGTTGCGGTCGGCGCGGCTCGCCACGATGGCCTGCCAGGGGTACTCGCCGGGGGCGGCCTGCCCGGGGCTCAGGCCCTCGGGCCGCGGCACCTGGCGGCGCTGGCCGCACGCCTCGGGGGACTGGGGTCCGTACGACGGCTTGGTGGGGGCGGCCTCGGGCAGCGGCGGCAGCGGTGACTCTTGGGGCGGCTGCAGCTCCGGGGCGGGCTGCTGGGGCTGCGGAGTGCGTTCCAGGGGTTGAAGTGGCGGCGGCTGGGGGGAGTAGCTCGGTTGCGGCGCCGCCGGGGACGGAGGTGCAGGAGCGTACGTGGGCTGAGGTGGCGGTTGAGACGGGAAGGTGGTTTGTGGGGAAGGCTGTGGGGAAGGCTGGGGAGCATAGGTGGGTTGGGGGGCTGGCTGAGGAGGAGGTGGCGGGGCGAAGGTTGGCTTAGGTGCAGCAGGTTGAGGGTTGTAGTATGTTGGTTGAGGAGCAGGTTGCGGGGCGTAAGTCGGTTGAGGGGCGGGTTGGGGTGGTGGCTGAGGAGCGTAGGTCGGTTGAGGGGCGGGTTGGGGTGGTGGCTGAGGAGCGTAGGTCGGTTGAGGGGCAGGTTGGGGTGGTGGCTGCGGAGCGTAGGTCGGTTGAGGGGCGGGTTGGGGTGGTGGCTGAGGAGCGTAGGTCGGTTGAGGGGCGGGCTGCGGTGGCGGCTGTGGGGCATAGGTCGGTTGAGGAGCGGGTCGGGGTGGTGGCTGAGGAGCGTAGGTCGGTTGAGGGGCGGGTTGGGTGGTGGCTGCGGAGCGTATGTCGGTTGAGGGGCGGTTGGAGGTGGTGGCTGCTGGGGCGTAAGTCGGTTGAGGGGCGGGTTGGGGTGGTGGCTGCGGAGCGAGGCGTTTGCGACGGCTGCGGGGACGGCTGGGGGTGGCCTGGTGGGGAGCTGGCCGGGTTGTGGCCCGCCGTAGCCGTAGCGGGCCTGGAGGGTGGGGCTGGGCCGAGGCCGGCACGGCCGGGCCTGGGGCTGTGGCTGGGGCGGCGCTGGCGGTTGGCCCTCCGTCCGGGCCTGGGTGGGGGGTTCTGGGGCAGGCCGGACACGGCCGGGCCGGGGACTGTCGGCTTGGACGGCGCCTGGTAATACAGGTTGGCCTCCTTGGTGAGGTTGGGGTTGGTGGTGGGCTCCTCGTCCTGGCCTTCCTGGTAGGGCTGGGCCTCCTCGCAGCACACGCCTCCCGCCGCGCCACTCGCCATGCTGCAGCCCTGCAAGCACATGCCACTCTGCAGTCCAGGACAGAGCTCCTTGAGGCAGACGGTCGGAACGCTTTGTGGAGCTGTACGACCGGCTCGGCGTCCGGGCGTCTACCAAAAAGCGGTGCAATATGCGGCGGTGCCTGTTAAACTCTCTGCGTCGTTACCAAAAGGTGCAAAAAACGTAAACATTACAACGGTGGGAGGGCTATGGTGAGCGTTCCAAGTCCTGCTTTGACGCCGCGCAAGCTGCAAGTGCAAACAATACAGATGGGGTGGGTCAAACTGTCTAATTTGCCAAGCGGGCCAAGCGTGCGGGTGCGCATGCGTCGCAGAAGCCTTGCTGCCGCATGCAGTGTGCAGTCCAACAGACTTGCTGGCGTGGCGCGGGGCGGCCCCGGGCAGCCCCTGGGATGGATTAACACTGGGGCCTAACAGCGAGTGCTCGCGCGGCTGCAGTGGTGCCCTGTTAGTGAGGGTGCTGAGCGCGCTGTCATAGAGTGCATGGAGAAACAGTTTCCTTACCACTTTCAGCACCAATCTGTCAACATCGAGTCCGAAGTAGCGGTAAAAGGAGAGGCCTCCAGTTCACCTCTCAGTAATCTTGGTGCAGTTCATCAACCCACGTCGTATTTTGTGTACAAATGAGACCAACAGGCATAAAATTTAAGTATATTTTATTCGCATATCAGAAATTATTAATAAAACACAATGAATTTCGTCGAATGGGTCTTCAGATACATGACATGCATGGAACCAAAACTTGGAGAATCACGGGAAAATAAATAACTTGAATGCATATCATGAAGGTCGCCTCAATAGTTTACCTTACAATAATCAATTAAAATATTACGAATCTGTCAGTTATATTTGTCGCACAGTCAGTCAAAAGTTGCTGTCGTTGTCTTTTAGTCGTATCTTTTTTTTTTTGACGCCTGAGAAGGGTTGGTCTAGTATCCGCCTCCGCCCCCTCCGCCGGTGCCGCTCACTGTGTTGACGGCGTAGCTGCAGCACTTGCCGGGTTGTCCCGACGTCAGCGTCACGCAGTCCTGCAAGACCATCTCCCTTGAAAGTCCGCCAGCATCGCACAGACAACGCCCGCCTCGGCCCGCCTCGGCCCGCCTCCACCGACATCGCGGTCCTTGGACTCGGAAGAAGGGGGCAAGAGCATGCCGTCATGACTTGCCAACGATGCCCGTCCATTTTTGGGACAGCAGTTGACAGGCCGACTGCGTGGCCGACTCTTCGTCGAGGACCTCTTTGCCCCCTTCTTCCGCCAACCTCACGAGGTAACTGCCCGGCGCTGCTTCGCGCGGCTTCGCGTCGAAGCGGAGGGGCAGGTCGCTGCAGTTACCTCGTGGAACAACATCCGGAGCGCGAAAGAAAGACGATGCACCTCCTGCCCCCAAAACCTCTGAACAAGGGAACTGTGAAGATGGCACTTGGCCTGTCCTGTGGGATTGAACGGAAATTAACACAGAGGGCATGCCACGGTCCCACCCCCACCCCTTGGGATGCCACAACCGCATTCTGCTCCGCGGCCCACGGCGCCCACACTTACCTCTCCACTGGCTGCGGCGCAGACTCCATTGCAAGTTTTCAGGTTCTAGGTGGAGTGTGGTCTCCGAGGGGAGGCTTTTCTTTGTGGTGTCGTGCTGCGGTTTCTCGTGTTGGTGGTGAGTGTGTGTGAGTGAGGATGCGTACAAGAGGGTTTGCGTGTGTGTCAGAGTGTCGGTGCAGCGTCCATCTCCCTTGCCAGTCCAGGGGCAGGAGGGACCACAGCGGTCGCAGAGAGGCCGTGCTGGCTCGGCTCTCCATCGTCATCATGCAGGGAGCCAAAAAGCGGGTCACTCATGCCGAGACACACAAAAAGCGGGCGCCGGGATTCGAACCCGGGACTCACCTGCTCGGGCTGCATCCTGCTCTGGGAGGGGCACTGCTGCGAGGGCACGCACACGCCGCCGGAGTTGGCGCAGGTGTCCTGGAAGGGCGTGCGGGCGGGCGGCGGCGGCGGTGGCGGCGGGGCGACGCCGGGGCCGGACGGCGCGGACGGCGCGGACCCCGGCATGTTCTTCATCATCATGCCGCCGGGCCAGGGGTCCTTGTAGTTGGGGTCGCGGCAGCACTTGCCGATGATGCCCGTCTCGGGGTTCTGGCAGTCCTGCACGCACAACACACGCACGTCACCCCACTGCAACGCACTGCCACGGCCGGGCGGGTAGCGCCTGCGACCCGGCGGGTAGGCAGCCACCCGCAGCACTCCCGCGCTGCGGGCAGGCCTACCCTCTGATCCGCAGGCGCTCTCCCCTCTCCCACCAGCTGCTTGCCGCGGGTGCGGGTGCGGGGGTGTTGGTGATGCCGCCGCGCTCCCACACTGCACAGTGCACGGCCTGGCACGTCCCGGCCTTGGCCGCCGTCGACTTACCGACATGGGCACGCGGTTCTCCTGCTGCTCACGCGTCAGGTACTGCGGGCTGTTGGCCATCACGCCCTCCGCCGTGCAGTACTGCTCCTCGACGCACTTGAGGGCGGCGGCGCACCCCGGGTACGGCGTCGTGTTGAGGGGGCCGGTGTAGGGGCCGGGCGTGGGCTCTGCGGACAGGGGACGGACACGTCGCTGTCAGGCCCCAAAGGACTCACCCAACATTTTTGACGGCGTGGAGTCGCCGAATATTTCGAGACGCGTTCCGAAAATAAGCCGAGTCGTTGGCAGAGCACGCGGCTCACAATCGCTGGCGACACGAGCGCGAAACCGCGAAACCGGTCCGCGACGGGGAGTGGGAGTGGAAGTGGAAGTGGCATCCGAGGAGCTGAGAGTGGCGCTTCAATTCATCAGCGCGTCAACAATTGAAGGTCTGATGATGCATCGCCACCGGACTTGAGCGCGCGAACGCACACACACACACATACACACACGCGCGCGCGCCACAGAGGCGTCGCTATTTTTGTTGGATGCGTGACTGAGCGACGAGAATGGAAATCTAATTGACTTTTCGATTCAGCTTTTTGCGGCATGTTGATCAAACAGACAACGCCTCCCGGTCCCAGTGCACTTCGACGCCCGTTTCCGTACTTATTGCGGTCGAAGAAAAATAAGTCCCGCGCCAAAAGAGTGCAACTCGGTGCAGAGGAAGCGAGAACTAGATGTTTCATTAAACTAAAGCCAGGTGCATCCTCGGCAGGCGGTCGTGAGAACTCGCCGTGACGTCACGCACAGCGCGCAGACGTCGCGGCCTGACTCACAGTGTCGGGCGGCCCAGCCAGGCCCAGCCAGGCCCAGCCGGTCGGGGAACATCGCGCCAAAGAATAAAACGCTCCGAGAGGCCTTATTTATGCTGAGCCTGCTGCCTGCCTGCTGCCTGCCTGCTGCCTGCCTGCCTAGGTCCCGGACGAGCCGCCAGACGGGGCTGGCAGCACCGCCAGAGCATTGGCCGCGAGGGAGTCGCGAAGAGGGAACTACTCGAACTGGCACAAAGTAAGGACAGGGGTCTGCTAATGGAGGGGACAAAAAGTAAAAGAAGTCGTTTCAAGTAAAAATTAACTTCGAACAAAAAGGGAAGATTGCACAGGACAAAAACGTATGAGGCGAGTTTTAAAAAATTAATTTAGAAGAGAGGGAAAATGATTTTGACTGTGTTTGAGCACATGAAAATGGTAATTAATAAAAAAAAGTCACGGGCGTATGCCCTGCTCGCGCCGCGAGCACTCTGGACAACACGCGAGGCTACGAGGCGGAACGTAGCACGGTGGCATCTTCCACCTACACACTTAATAACTTGACCCCCCCCCCACACCCCCCCCCGCACACACACTCGCAGAATCGCGCGTGGCAGTGGTTCCATCCGCCAGGCGGGGCCCGCGATGCCGCGGTGCTGAGATGCGGGCCCCGGAACATTCTCCGCGACCCGTCCTCCACGTCGAGAGGATCAAGAGGTCCGTGTCCGCGGGCAGCTCCTCTGCCTCGCCTCTGCCTCGCTGCTGATTGATGTGGCTGTATCTGCCTGCCTCGCCTGGCGTTAACGGGCGCCTCCAAGGACCTCCCGGCGTGCCTTCGTCGCTGCAGAGAGGCTCGGCGCGCACGGCACCGCGGACTGTACACTGGCGGACTCACGGGGCTGGTAGTTGGGCTGGGGCTGGCTGTAGCCGCCGACGCCGCCGTAGCTGGGCGGTGGTGGCTGCGGCCTGGGGATCTGCGCGGGGGCTGTCCGTAGCCGCCGGTCTGGGGCGGCGGCGGCCGGTACTGCGGCTGCTGGGGCTGCTGCTGGGGCGGGCGCTGCTGGCAGCACGTCTGCGACGCGGAACTGCACTGACCCTGCCGAGCAGACCGACAAAACCACGATTAAGACGCGCCTTGAGCAAGCTCCTCCACAGACACAGAGACAAGGGGTTGGGGGTGCACAGGAGTGTAACAAAACACGAACAGACAGGTGGCACACACGGCACAGTCAACGAGTGCTTTGGTGAGTGTGTGGCAGCTAGAGTACGACAAGCGAAGCTCACAGTGCAAAATGGTTGCGGGCCGTCATCACGGGCAGTTCGCAACGGTGTTACTTTCTGTCGAGTTTCCGAGCAAAAGTTAGACGAGTTCATTCGCGCGACAACACGCTCTCACACATGCACGCACTCGCACGCACCCATTCACACTTTTCATCGACTGAATTGTAGTCTGATATGTGTATAAATGTGGTCAATGTGGTCAAAGTTTGAGAGTGAGAAACGTGTTCTTCAGAGGATCATTTCCGAATGATGCTTTTTGGAGAGCAGGTTGGCCGGGGGGCGCCACATTGACAATTGTTTTCCGTGCCCTTCTTTAGAACTAAAGTCCCTGTTTTTCATTGTTTTCAAATTTTTGTGAAAGAGGCGTGGAAAACCATTGTCGTAGCCAACGCCCCTGCCGGCGGCACTGAATTGCTGAAACACAAAAGACAAATTAGGCAGCATCGCTGTTTCCCACTCGGCGCGTCCGGCACCAAGATTGATCATGACTCACGCGCTTTACCGAGACTTATCGAAAACGGGAAGCGTCCGGGCCAGCTCGAGGGCCCGCCCCACCCCACCCCGCCCCACCCCGCCCCGCCCCACCCCACCCCGCCCCTCCCGGCCCGGCCCGGCGAGGGTCAGGCCGCCAGGCCAGCCAATCGGCGCGCACCGCGACCTCCGCAGTGACGTCATCGTCCTGAGATACGACACATTATGCGAACCCACGTAAGAGGGCAAAGCGGACACTGTTGCAAACAAAGTGTAGAAGGGCAGAGACGCAAAACGGGAGTTTTCGCCTCGTAGACTAACCGCGTAGCTAATAATTGACCCAAGCCACAAAAGTGAGTAAGCGAATAAAATAATTTTCTGCTCAATCTTTGTTTGTTTACAGTGACGAGGGCCGCGTCGCCGTGCCTCCGAAAGAGACTCGTAAACATGTCTCTTCCTCCAGCGGCCTCACGTGGGTGTTCGGTGTCGCATTGTGTCGAGTGTGTGCACGACTCGACGTGAGGTGTTTGGTGGGGGCCGTCCTGGAGCCGTCCTGGAGCCAGCCTGGAGCCAGCCTGGAGCCAGCCTGGAGCCGTCCTGGAGCCAGCCTGGAGCCAGCCTGGAGTCAGCCTGGAGCTCCAGGGGCATCGAGACCGTCTTCGCAAACTGCAGCGTACAACAAGGAGGCCTTGAACAATGCTCTGTCTCTCACTTGCCCTACGGAACGCCCCATGAGTGCGAGGGAGACAACGCGACGGAGTCGGGTTGCAGCGGCGGGGCTGCGGGGCCGCGGGGCCGCAGGGACGCCCCGCCGAATTGCCGCGACGCGACGCGACGCGACCGCAGCCATTTGGAGAGCCACTCGCGGCGCGGAAACTTATCTCGACGTCCAGGACGCCGTCGTGGCCCGCGAGGTTTAATGCACACAAGTGCCGGAGTGTCGAGCTGGTGCCGGCCGGGGTGCGCGTCGGCGTCCCGGAACGGCCGGCCGGCCGCGCGGGGAGGGGAGGGAGGGGAGGGAGGGGCGTCGCACGCCGCCGCGACCTCTGCACCGCCGGGGCCGGGCCGGGGTCGCGGGGCCCAAGGCCGCGGCGGGGCGGCCAGCACAATTGCGGGCTGGAGGCTGGAGAGGATCGCCGGCAAAAAGAACAAGTGCGTCGAGCACCGGCAGGACGAGGAGGACCGGCAAGGCACCGCCGCCGCGGGTGGCTCAAGCAGCCCGAAGGGGGAGGGGAGGGGCAGTCTGCAGCGTCATCGCGGAGTGCAGAGTCCTTGCTGCAGCGCTCCGGCAAAATTTCCCCTGGATCCTACTCGGCATAAACGTGGAGAGAATCGACTGGCCAGCAGGCATTGAACGGAATGCGCCTTTTGGGATTCCAAACGCCCCGCTGCTCACTGCCCATGCCCAGTAACCACAATGACTACCAGTGACTGGTCAGTGAATCGCCCCGCGACGTCTGCCTCAGTCTGTCCGGCTTGGCAGCCCCTCTTCCTCCGCGGCGTCGCGGCGTCCTCCCGCCCACCGCTCCGCGCGACGTCGCCATACGTGTTCCAGGAAGCCCCCCAAAGCGACGGCTCCATTGTCCAAGGTGGCATATGGCCGCCGAGCCGCGGATTGCTCTTGCACCTGCAGACGCGCCACCCGCCGGGATGGCTCGGCGCGCACACACGTACAGCTCGCGTGGGAACAGCACTGTGACGTCACTGTCCAGGAGGATGTAGCCGATCCCAACCCATCCCGTCCCATCCGGCCGCACCGCGTCGCCCCGCGTGACACGCCGGAGGAAACGGCACGGGCTTCGGGCTCCAATCACCCGGCGAATCCAGTCGGCGGCGATTAATTGTAGACGCGGACGTGCCGGGCGAAGCGGCGGACCGAGCTAGTTTGGATTTCGGAGGGGGAGGGGGCATTAGGCGAGTCAGCCAGCTGGACGGCCCCACAGCCCTTCCGTCCGGTCCCTAACGACACAACCAAGCAGCGAGGCTTGGCGCACTAGACGACGCGCAGGACGCTCTGAACCCGAAGTCGCTGTCCCAAAGTGCCGAGGTGCATAGGGGAGGGGGGCGGATATGGCTGCCATTCAGTTTGTGTTCCTCGGTCTGTTTTTTCCGCGGCCACTCCACTGGCGGTTCGCACACTACTCGCCGCGATAATTACCGCTCCGGCACGCCTACACTGTACAGCCCGGACAGCGCGGGCGGTTCGCCGGAAACTCCGAACTCCGCGGAGCACCGCGGAGACGAAGACGCGCTCTGTCTCGGTGCCCTTGAGCGCGGCGTGGCACGGCGTGGCGGGGCTGCGCTCGAAAACGCCCGAAAGAGCTCTCCCTCCCCCCCCCTCCCGCCTCGTCAGCCGGCGTCGGCGGACGCATCCACGCCAGGCGAGAGTCTTCTTCACTCTTATCGCCGGCGATCAAAACAATTTCAATTTTAAACGAGCGCGAAAAACCCGCGGCGCGCGCACAGCCAGTGGCGTAGGCGGCGTCGCGGGGCGTGATTGCCGTGCCGGTCGGGGCGCGGTGGCGTGGTGGCGCGGTCAGGGGGTGGCTGACTTGGGATTGGCTCACCTGTCGGATGCCGTTGGCGCCGGGCGCGACGTAGCCGCCCTGGCACTGGCCCAGGCCCACGCACACCTGGCCGGGCTGGCTGCAGGGGATGTCGTAGTCGGGCGTCTGCGGGGGCCCCGAGGGGCCGGCGCCGTAGCCGCCCCCGCTGGCCTGCTGGGGCTGCTGGGGGCGGGGCTGCTGCGGCTGCTGGGGCCGGCCGCCCGACAGGAAGGGGTTGCCGGCGCTCACGGCCGGGGGCGGCGCCTGCGGGGCGGAGGCCTGGCCGGTGGACTCGGCGCTGAAGGGCCGCGACCCCGACGCCCACCAGTAGTTGCCGCCGGGCGAGGACGGCTGCCCGGCGTTCTGGGGCGGCGGCTGCTGGTACTGCGGCTGCGGCTTGTACTGCGGCTGCGGCTGGTACTGGGGCTGCGGAGCCGGCGCCGGCGCCTGGTACACGTCGTTGTTGGCGGGGGGCAGGTCGTCGGGGAACGGAGTGGTGGTCCACTGCTTCTGCGGGCGGGAGGGCCCCGCGCCGTACTGGGGGGTGGCCAGCACGGCCTGCAGGGCCACGGCCAGGACCGCGCACAGCAGCGCGGTGCGACCCATGGCTGGAGCTGCGGGCAGTCGCAGGCCTCGTTACCAAAAGTTCGGCGCCAAACATCAAATGGTAATTCATTTAACTTAAACCTGATGATGGGTTCATGCCACTCTTACGATGTTTTTCAAGCACCCTACAAAATATTTTTGCTTTCCGATATTTTCTATTGTTACTACCAAATTCTCAAGTACTCCTTGCTTTTTAATAAATAAAGTAGATTCAAACAAAATCACACTGCTATTCGATGTCGTCCCATCCTTGTCACACACTGGTCACCGGTCTGTTGGCAAGAGAGACAGTCCGGTGTCCTCCTGGAGCGACTGTGCGACGCTCCTCCTCCAGCCGTCCCCTCCAGAGGCCTCACCTTCCTGTGCGAAGTGTTCGTGTGTGCTCGCTGCCGGCTTGCTGACTGGCAGACTGGATGTCCGCGCGCGCAGGCGCCTGCTTTTATACTTTTGCGATGAGGTGCCTTGCTCGCTTGGTCGCTTGCTCGCCGGGCCGAGGCGGGTCCGGCTCAGCCTGGAGTCTCCGTCTCTGGAGTCTCCGCCTCTGGAGTCTCCGCCTCTGGAGTCTCCGTCTCTGGAGTCCGTCCTGAGTCTCCGTCTCTGGAGTCTCCGTCTCTGGAGTCTCCGTCTCTGGAGTCTCCGCCTCTGGAGTCTCCGTCTCTGGAGTCTCCGTCTCTGGAGTCTCCGTCTCTGGAGTCTCCGTCTCTGGAGTCTCCGTCTCTGGAGTCTCCGTCTCTGGAGTCTCCGTCTCTGGAGTCTCCGTCTCTGGAGTCTCCGTCTCTGGAGTCTCCGTCTCTGGAGTCTCCGTCTCTGGAGTCTCCGTCTCTGGAGTCTCCGTCTCTGGAGTCTCCGTCTCTGGAGTCTCCGTCTCTGGAGTCTCCGTCTCTGGAGTCTCCGTCTCTGGAGTCACCAGCGCAGCGTAGCGCAGAGAGGCGTCCTGGGACCGAATCGCACGGCGGATGGGACGGCAGTGTTGTGTTTGACATTCGCCTATCGCTGTATCGCTCCTGTTCTGGTGGATTTCCTTCTCTTTCAATGAAGGTGAAGAAGGACTTATGCATTTTGCATGCTGCCTCGTGGGCAAGCAACTCTGGAGTGGGGCTGTGCGTGGCGGGGTTGTCCTGCTATCACAGCCCCGCGCCCCAACTCGATCCACTCGGGCCGTCGGGGCGAGCGCTCCACTCCGCCAAGGTCACGCCGCGCTTGGGCTTCGGCTCCACCCAGCGAGATCCGCTTGCCGGTGCAGCCACGCCGTCGAGCCGACCTGCCGGCGCCTAAACAGAGAAAACGCGGAAAACCGTTCCCGCGAGGCGCTAAATTCCCTAGAATCCCCGAGATAGCCGAGTCTTACCCAGAACGGAGCGGAGCAGAGCGGAGGCGACTCGCCCGACCCCGTCACGATCCAGGATGCAGTGCATGAGTCAGGAGCCGGCGGCCAGGCCGGTGGTGTCGGTGGGGCGGGCAGGGCGGCCCTCGTTGTGCCAGGGCGGCGGGGCGGCGGGGCCAGGGCCGCGGTCGGGGAATTCCTCGCTATTGATATGCCAGTGGGATGGCGCTGGCCGCTGGCCCCGACCGCCCGCAGCCCGCACCGCTGGAGCTAGCTCCAAACTGTGCCGCCCCGCCGCCCCGCCGCCCCGCCACCGCCATCTCATCCACACATTTCATTTTGAGTTAATTCAGACATTCCTCGGGCAGCGAGGTGAGGTTCACCTCCCGGGGCGGTTGTTGGACCACCGAACCGCGACGGTGCTGTCTGGAGCGCGCACGCGAGCGCTGTTGATGCAGGATGCACGCCGAGCACTCCAAGCACCGCGCGCGCGAGTCCGAAACGTGCGAAGCGGCGACGCCGTTCGCGGGCGACACTGCTCGCCGCGCCGCCGCCTTTTGGGCCTTTTGGGCCGCCGTCGCCGTGCCTTGGCTGTGCCTTGGCCGTGCCTTGGCCGTGCCTTGGCTGTGCCTTGGCCGTGCACGCCACTTAGCGGCGATACCGCAGACCGCAGCCGCGACACAACGCCGCGCGCCCCGCGAGGAAAACGCGCAAATTTCGAACGAGTCGCGGTGGAAATAAACAACACGACCCACCCGCGGTCCGGCCCGGCCCGCCGCGACACATTACAAGCCTTCTAAATCCGGAGCCCGGCTCGTTACCGCATAGCGACGCCGCTCCGCCGCGAAAGCGCGTCGCCAGCGCCTCTCTGAGAGAACCGGAGAGATCCCTCCTAAAGGACCACGCACCGCTGTCGGGCGGCCCTATGAGTTTGAGCTGCATTTCAAGGTCAAACTCGATCTTCTTCGAGTTGCCACGTTGGCCGCTATCGAGACTCTCGCTGTCCTGCACCTCCGGCGGAAAGTTCGTTTCGCCAGTGACAAATTACATAAAAATTCAGCACCAACCGTGCCTCACTCTGTTTTATGACTGAAAGACCGCTCGTCTCCTCGAGTTGTAAGCCGGCCCGACAATATTTCTTTTCGATGCTCGGTAGTCGTGGTGAAGCTGACCGACCGCCTGACTAGATTTAAAGGCAGCTCTAAAGTAAGTGTCGGCTGGGGCCCGAAAACCTTTGCGGCCCACCGTTTCTCGCCAGGTACTTAAGACTGTATGGACGTAATGCCGCGTAATCCTGAAATCTGGCCGAGTTGTGTGTGTGTGTGTGTGTGTGTGTGTGCATGTGTGCATGTGCATGTGTGCGTGGATGGTCGTGGGGTTCGCGGCGACACAGGCAGACGCTGGCCGACACGCTCAACGACATGCACGACGCACGTCTGCCCCCGCGCGCGGCACGCCATGCGCACGCGGCACGTTCGATGCCTATCGATGTGTTCTCGCCGCTCGCCGTGTACAGTGTATACACGCCTCATTGTGTTGTAAACCGAAAATACGCCTCCGGTGTCCACTTGCCGACTGCAGGCGCGCTGCAGCCGCGCGGCTGGTTCCGAAGGATCGAATCGTCGGTCTGTCTCTCTCGCACCATAGGAGCGACAGAGACAGCGATGGAACGACTCCAAGGAATGGGCCGGACGTGTCCACACACGCCGCCCCCGCCGTTCCGCTCCGCCGGACCACCGCATTCAAAACATTCCGCTCCGCCACTGACGAATGGCCGAAAACGCATGCTATGGGGATCAGGATGAGGCCATCCTTCAAGTGCTCCAGATCAAATTAGCGGTCTTGATTGCCGCACGTGCCGCGGCTTGCCGCCCGAAGCGACTTCTCAGCTCGACTCCTGGGCCTTCCCTGCCTGCCTGCCTGCCGCCAGAAGTGACTCCGTGCTTCTTGCCTTTATTCTCCTCCGTTCGGCGCCCGAGTGATCAGCCCCGTTGTGCAGACACCCCGCTTCGCTGGGCAGTTCGTTGGGTTGCCCCCCTACCCGGCTGGCTGCTGAGTAGTAGTGTGCGCTTTCGACGCGAGGTGGCGCTGCTCCGCTGCCTACCAGCTGAGTGGCGCTTCCCGGTCTCGCTCCTCCCAGGCCGAACGGCAAGTAAACAGTCGGATAGCAACAGCTTCAGTACCGGTAGGTTGCAGACGCTGCCCCAAGGTCGAGGAAAAGTTACGACAACTCGTGTATGCCTGACCGTCAACTTCTGTAATGCCATGTTGTCATTGAGCGACAGACGTTTGAACTGAAGTTCCCGCAGGAAACCAGCAAACAAACTACGTCATTCATTGGTGGACTGCATTAGTATTCACTCTTTCGTTCACTACGCCTACAAACTCGATAAGCGTGCCATTCAGCTAAGCAGTGCTGCCGCAGCCGGTGAGACCTCTGACCATCTCTTCTATCTTCTTATCTTGTTGACTTGGGCCGGGTAGAAGTAAAGGCAAGTGGCTTGTGTAGTACCAAACCATCCTTTGAGTAGGTATTCATTGGTCTCGCCTATTTCTATGCCGAATGGCAGCTGCTTGTCTGATTTGCACGCTAAACTTTCAAAGTCTTCAATGCTGCCATCTGCTACTTCGCATAACAATTGTCACTTGGATTACTGAATACTGTTGCTCTGAGATTTGACAATACATATTTCCTAACCAAGTAAATGTCATGCAATAATAATGGCTCATTCAGCTTGTCTGACTGTTATGTTGCAGATGTTTGTGGCTCGCCAAGGCCTTCAAGCTCTTTCAAAAGCCTTACCATCAACGACATCTTATCTCCAGAAAAGATCTCTAGCTGCAATGAGTGTGGGAAACAAATTTGATTTACCTGACCGCTATCGCGGATCAGAAAAGAGTGTTTGGTAAGGTCATCTAAAAGTTCAATTTTGGGCAAGAGTTATTTGATGTTTTTAAAATTTTACACTTGGTTAATTTTTGGCAGGGTTGAGTATATACAGTTAGCACAGGAAACTCAACCGCTCAATCTTGGCCAAGGGTTTCCTGATTTCGCAGCGCCAGACCATGTTACTAAATCATTAGCTGAGGCCTGTACTGGAGAAAATGTTCTTCTGAATCAGTACACACGTGGATTTGTAAGTATTGTTTTTCTAAATTTTGTAGGCTCTTGTATTTTATTTTTCTGGATAATCTGGCCCCTACTCTACTTGTGATGCAAACTAACCTTTTTGCTTTTTTTTTATAGGGCCACCTACGATTGGTCAAGGCGCTGAGTCAGCTGTATTCAAAAGTTATCGGTCGCTCAATTGATCCTGCAACTGAGGTGCTAGTCACTGCTGGTGCATATGAAGCTCTCTTTGCAACAATTATGGGACATACTGGCCCTGGTGATGAAGTTATCATCATTGAACCTTTCTTTGACTGTTATGAGCCCATGGTACGGTCAGCAGGAGGTACTCCCAAGTTTATACCTCTTAAACTGGTATGTAAAGTGTACTTCCAACAATTTCTACATTTATAAGATGGGAGATTTTAAAAATATTGAGAGACGGTGAAATATTTTGAATTTTCAGGTAAAATCAGGTCCTGGCCCAATTTCATCAGGTGATTGGAAACTTGATGTCAATCAGCTGTCGTCAATGTTCAACAGCAAAACAAAATCCATCATTGTCAACACACCCCACAACCCTATCGGGAAAGTATTTACTCAGGAAGAGCTAACAGTCATTGCAGACCTGTGCAAGAAGTGGAATGTTCTGTGCATCTCTGATGAAGTGTATGAGTGGATGGTTTATAAGCCTTTCAAACATATTAGAATGGGTAAGTTTTGGCCTTCTCATTTATGGAGAGAGGGTAAAGTGCTCTACATGTCATGTTAAAATATAGGTATTGCACTGAGTATCCCATTGACTGAGTGAAATATTTGTGATCCCTCAGCTACCCTACCTGGAATGTGGGAGCGCACCATTACTATTGGATCAGCAGGAAAGACATTCAGCGTCACTGGCTGGAAGACTGGTTGGGCGTACGGACCTGCGGAACTCATGAAGAATCCCATGACAGTGCATCAGAACTGTGTTTACACTTGCACTACTCCAGTGCAGGTAGGTTTTTGAACGAATAAGAGTAGATAGATTAGTTTGACTTCCATCAAATTGTTCTATTTCATCAAAAATATTTTTTTCTTTCTTTTCAGGAAGCAGTTGCTAGAGGATTTGAGTTTGAAATGTCAAGAATGGACTCTCCTGAGTGCTATTTTTATAGCCTTGCTGAAGAGCTCTTGCCCAAGAGAGACTTCATGGCCAAATTTCTCAGTGAAGTTGGAATGGTTCCCACAGTTCCAGAAGGTGGCTACTTCATGATAGCTGATTGGACTCCTCTCGGTAGGTTTTATTTGAGAAATGTTTTCTTTTGAAGTAAACCGCTTTGATCACACGAGTTCTCTAAATGTGCTTACAGCCAACAAAGTGGATCTCAGCCAAGAAAAGGATAAGTACCGAGACTACAAGTTCACCAAATGGATGTCCAAAAATGTGAAGCTACAAGGTATTCCCCCGTCAGCATTCTACAGTGAGCCAAACAAGCATCTCATTGAAGATTATGTGCGCTACTGTTTTATCAAGGTGAGCCCTATTGTTCTGAAAATAATAATCTTAAGAGTTTGTCAATGCCTAAAGACTGTTTTTATCATGTGCCTTGCTTTGTGTTTGCAGAAAGATGAAAACTTGCAGAAGGCTGCAGAAATTTTACAAAAGTGGAAGGGAAGCAAGTAGTGTGGAAGATATTTGGGATGCTTTTTGTTATATTTTATGTAGGTGTTTTGTTTTCATATGAATCTTTATATATTATGTATGTAGGACTTTAAGAACCATAAGAATATAATTTATAAGTTTGTGCCATGTACCTGACCTTTGGATGACCCAATGTTGAGGTATTATTTATTTGTCATGAAGATTCTTGAAAATATTTTAAACAGTATAATGCACCTTTTGCTTTTATTTTACGTTTGTTTCTCAATAGCATTTTCATTTTGTGATATGTTTTGTGATAATTATTCTTCCATACCTTTTAATATCATTTAAAAGTATGGTTTGCTGATTTGGTTGTTACATGTTACTTCATGTTAAAGTTGTTTTGCCCCCATCAATTTCACAGAATAAAATTCTACTTGCATATTTTTTAACTGGTGCTGTGTCTTCAAGTTGTGTAGTCTCCCCTCAGCCACCTTTTACCATCTCTGGAGTCGCTTCCGTATGTTCGTCCATACCTGGAAAGAAACAAAGTTTTAAAGGGTCAAAACATGACAATCAATGTTGGCCTAATTGATTAACAGGTCACTTGTCTCATTAGGCATGCAAAACTGTTTTTCTTCAAAGAAAAAGCAGTCAAATTTTAAAAAATTAAATGACTTGCTGATACTTGTTTTACGAGATACTCAGTGCGCGGTCCATGGGGCGCGATACACCAGGCCAAGCCCCTCTACACTACACTAGGTGGTCTAGGTCAGACGAGTGCCCACCGGAACTTGGCGCCGGGGAGGTGGCCGACGTAGTGCGGCAGCAGGGCGACGTGCTTGTGGTAGATCTCGGGCGGGGTGATGAGCAGCGGCGGGTCGGGCTGCACCACGCCGACGGGGGCCCACTCGGTGCTCTGCCGGCGCCGGTAGTTGTGGGTGAAGTCGCACAGGGCCGAGTTGGTGAGCGCCTGGCTGGTCTGGCCGTAGCGCGCCATGCCGTAGGGCACGTGGCCCGTGTAGCCTGTGGGCAGGGCGGGCAGGGCAGTGAGTTTGGTTTAGGCAACACGTCGCTCAATGACAGAAATGGAGCAGCCCGAATGAGTTCGAGTCGTCGTGTCCTGGCGGTCCTGGTCCTGACCCGAGGGGGCGAGCTGTAGGCTCTGGCGGGCGAAGGTCTGGTTCACTCGCTGTATGGACGCCATTGTCCTGTCTGTCTCTAGGTCCTCTAGGTCTAGCGCTGAGTGGCTTCAAGCGGCCCACGCGGCAAATTTAGAAGGGGCGAAGGAATGAATGGGTTGAGTTCGGTTTTCGATTCGGTAGTCCGGGAGCGGTTCGGCAGTCCGGACACATTGTTGAGGGTGGGGGCCGAGCTTCGGGAAGCGTTCGGGTCTCGAGGTCTAGAGCTCGGGTGCCGAGCGCCGGCGAGGTACGCAACCCATCGGGCGCGCCTGCTTGGAGGGCGGCCTCGGAGGAAGGAACATTGTCGCGTACGTACCGAGCACGAAGTACTTCTCCGGGTCGTTGGGGTCGGCGAAGTAGGGCGAGATGGTGTTCCTGGCCGGCGGCACGGCGGCCTCGGGGGCGCACACGTGCCTGATGACGCCCGTCATCTCCGGCCGCACCATGTAGAGCGGCATCTTCCACTGGTTGGCTTGCACCTGCCACAAGCCGGCCGAGATTCTCGTGTAGGATGTCGACAGGGAATGACAACTTAGTACACACAAATGCAGAAGGGTCACAAATATTCCCCCACAAAAAAAACATTAACTTGTTTCAAAACTTTTTCTGGCGACTCTAAATGAACCTTTCCTCTGTCGCCACCAGACTAAAGTAGGAAATGGCACAAGAAGAAGAAATTTGTGTCTGCAGACCATGCGGTCCAGGAGGTCCCTGGGCTCGGCGGCGTTGTTCTGCAGGTGCTGCGTGCGCACGATCTGGTTCCTGGTGGCGCGCGCCTTGCGCTGCTGCTGCTCGAAGTCGGACAGCGCGGCCGCCGCCGCCGCCGTGAAGCGCTGCCCGGACTGGCCGCGGATCCTCGGCAGGAAGCCTGTCGGGCAGGACGGCAGTCGCTTCGTCACTCCGTCTCTCTCGCACCCACCCCTCAGCGGCACCCACGCCACGAGTGCGACAGAAACAGAGCGCGACCAAGTGGCTGTCAAGGGAGTGACGGCGCGACCAAGTGGCTGTCAAGGGAGTGACGGCGCGACCAAGTGGCTGTCAAGGGAGTGACGGCGCGACCAAGTGGCTGTCAAGGGAGTGACGGCGCGACCAAGTGGCTGTCAAGGGAGTGACGGCGCGACCAAGTGGCTGTCAAGGGAGTGACGGCGCGACCAGGGCTGTCAAGTGGAGTGCGGCGCCGGGTGTCAAGGGAGTGACGGCGCGACCAAGTGGCTGTCAAGGGAGTGACGGCGCGACCAAGTGGCTGTCAAGGGAGTGACGGCGCGACGTGCGAGGGCCGCAGCCCGCAGGCGGCTTCCTGGCGCTGCGGCCGCCGCGTGTGAGTGTCGTGTGCACCACACTGTGCAACGCCCCGGGCGCCAACGCCCAGCCCACCACACTGCCAGAAAACGACAGCGGCCGGCCGCGACAAACTATGGACTGTATTTTCTTTGCCCGCTTAAAAGTGAAATATCGAGCGAGAAAAGGTCACGGTTTCGAACGCTGCTCTTAATTAAAACTTTAAGCAATTGGCCGCACTCTACGCTGCGACCGTCGGCGCCATTGCGGCGGGCCCCCTTCCAAGAGCGGGTGGTCTAGTCTCGCCTGGTCTCGCCGCCACCTCGGTCGCACGGTGCTGCACTCCTTGCGCTCCCTAATACGTGCGACCGCGACCCGTACCCGGTACCCTACCCCGACCGCGACCGGCCGCCCGTGAGAACGCAGCGACGCCGCGACGCATCGCGTCACTACGGCTGGGGGACTGGGAACTGGGGACCGGGCCGGGCCGGGGCCGCTCGCCGGCTGGGGCATGGCTGGCAAGGCAAGGCTGGCGCAACGCGATATCGACAATAAATTGTCTGCAAAACGGCGTGCGCAGCCCGCAGTCCGCAGTCCCAGTGGCCTTTAATGCGAGCAGCGCCCCAGCGCGGCCAATCCTGGAACCAGCAAGAACCAGCCAGCCAGCGCCTCGCCCTCGCCGCAGTGCCTGCCGTAGGCAAGACCTATAGGTCTCGTCGCTATCTACCCTTGGTCTCCGCGGTCTCCTCCAGACAAACCTCCGCCGAATAAATCACGACTCGGCATGCTGCAGTCTGATTCCGAGAGTCGCTTTCATCGCTCTGCCTCTCTCGCACTCGCGGGGCGTCCCGTATCGGTGCGAGAGAGACAGAGCGACGATGACGACCCTCGGAATCGGCCTGCTGCGCGTGGCTGCGGCGGCGACCGAGCCCGACAGAGCGCCTGCGAGGTAGGCAATAAGCGGCGGTTCGGCGCACGCGTGTGCGCCGGGGTGCGTGTCTCCGGGCGCTTGCGATTGCGATTAATGGCTGGACCACAAGGACTGTCCAAACGGCGGCCTAGCCTTGCTGCAGGGCGCGTGGTGTAAGTGCGTAAGGCACCCTAGCCTCCAGGCCCACCCCGTCGCGCTGGGGCTCGGGCCACGGAGGCGGCAGTCACGGTCACGCCCGGCGGCCCGGGCCGCGTTGCGTACTCTGCCCCGAGCTGGCCGTGCACGCCGTGCTCGCCGTGCTGCACGGGTCATGGCGCGGCGGAAGGCCGGGGAGGCCGGGAAGGCCCTCCTCTCCTCTCCCCGCGATGGCACTGCTCCTTGTTCGTTCCGATTCCGCGGCCCGGACCGTGACGACGAGGATACGGCGGCCACGCGGGCGCCACGTTGCACAAGGCAGGGCCGCGCCGGCAGGGCGCGCGTGTCCGGCACGCCACGCCACGCCACGAGCCGACGTGTCGTAACCCAGGCGGGACCACAACAACAAGCCGCTCCGTGCGCTGCCCGCGCCCAGCCGCCCCCGCCCCCTTCGCCGCCCCCGCCGCCCCTTCACGCTACCCTGGCCCCGCTATGCCTCCGGCCTGCCTGCCTGCCTGCGCGGCGCGTGGCTGCGCGCGGCAAGGCGGTGTCATGACCCGAAAGCCACTTCGCACAGCGCCACCGCTACCCCGGCGGCTCGGCGGACTCGGCAGCTGTTGCTCATTAAAAACGCAATGCAAACACAGCCGTCCGGGTCGGGCCGGGCCGGGCCGCTCCGGGGCCGTAACGCCGTGCTCGCCGGGTAACTGCGGCCGGGACCGCTGCAGCTCCGCGGCCGAGGAGCTCGCCTTCGCCGGAGCCTTTCGTGCTCAGTAAGCCAGCGGGAGTCTACGAGATCCGCGTTCGGCATAAATCGGAACAAATCCTCCAAAAATATTTGGCTGACAATTCAGTGTCAAAGTTGTCTCGGTTTTGATGAGCTGCTTCTCAAAATTTCAAGTGGCGGTGATGCTTTCTCTCTCCTTCGACCCCGAATTTCAGTGAATTTCGCGCAGATGGCGCCGTTTTGAAACAGTTTATTCTCCTCCTCGCACTTTGTTTTGCAAATTTTCACACTTGCTCCGATTTGGCGGGAATGTTCGCTTCCCGTTGCAGTGCACAGGGGGCCTCGCTCCTCGCCCCTCCCGCTGGGATGCTGGCCGTCAGACTGTGCCCTGCACTGCACTGCACACGGGCGCCGTGGCCGCGGAGCCGCGGAGCCGCGAAGCTGCGAAGCCCCGCCGCGGCCCAGGAAGTTACATCGCGGCTCGGCGAGGCAGAGGGGCCGAAGCGGCCGAAGGGCCTGGGCCAAAGGGGTACAAAAGCCTCGCCTTGCCACACAGACGCCGCGACGCGCCGGCGGAAGGGAGGAGCAGGGGAAGGGTGCTGCTTTCCGCCGACAAGAAAACAAAAGGGGGGCCTTCGCGGGCCGGGCAGGGCGGCAGCAGAGCCTAGCGCCGCAACGGCAACGGCCCAACTAGGAGTCGCCGTCACAAGTCAAGAACCGGCCAACCGATTTGCTCACATAAGCTTATGCGCTCAAAAGCCTAAAGACGGTAAACGGTGTTTTTAGCGGGGGAGAGGGAGGGGTTATGTTGTCGTTATTATTGTTGTTGTGCACTCACCCTCGTAGCCCGGAATGACGGGGTGCTGGTACACGGGGTCACCGTATCGGAACCGGCTCTGCACGATGTCGACGTCATTTTCGCTGGGCCGCGTCACCTGAAAAAAAAAGATAATTTCTCTTTTGTATGATTGAAATTTAGGTTTGTTGTCGTACTTTTTTAATCGAAGGGAAAAGCGATTTAAACAAAAAAACGGAGAGGGCGGTGCTGTGCTGCGCGCTGCGCGGCCCGACGACGACGCTTTCGTTTATTCGGGCCGCCTCGCCTCCGCGTGGGACTGTCGGGACCGCCAGCAGGCCAGGACCGTCCTGACGCAATGTCTCCATAATCTGAATGCTCTGGGACGGCACGGGAGCGCGGCGCCGAGGAGGGGGGGGGAGTATGGTAATGGGCTGGCGCCGTGCTTTGCAGCCTCGCAGTTCATGAGAAGAAAGCTTGACTTGCAGTGTGCACAGCGCGTACCGAGGACCGCGGACCGAGGACGGGTTAGGTCAGCCGGCGTCTGTCACTTTACGGTGACTCACGGGCGCACTCTGTATGTCGACGCGGAAATTCCAACAGTGCGGTTCCCATTCAATTTCAAATGTAGGTCAGGTTGTGCCGTCTGCTAAAGCGGATTACCCGCGTTGCCAACCTGTCGAAGCTTAAGGGGCTGAAGATGATCCGCTTGCGCAAGAAACACTGCGACGCGTTTTGGCAAATTTATCAAGTCAACGTTCATATTTATTGCTGTTGCGATTTTTTCGGGCGTGACTTCAATCAGTGCAGTCGCGGGATTTTTTTTTCACCAACAGATTATGCGCGCTGCATAAATGTGAGCTCAAAGTGGAGTCTCCATAAAAAATGCTGTCACCCTAAAAAGAAACATGGCCTCGCTTCATTAAGTCATAAATAATGAAAATATTTTGGCCCCTTTTTTTTTCTTTTTTCGCTGCTGTGCGTGGACATGACGACAGGCAGCTTCCTGAAGGCGGAGGCGCGATGACGGTGCGGACAGGGCGAGGCGGGGCGAGGCGGGGCGAGGCGGGGCGGGGCGGGGGCAAGGTGCGCGGCCCGGCGTCCGTGACTGTACTAAACGCTTGCCTGCCCATCCACCACGCCGCGCCGACGCCGTGCCCACCGCGAGCAAGGCCGGTGCCGTGGTGCCGCGGTACGGTGGCCGCGGCGCGGCGGGGCGACGCCCTCAGCCCTCGGCCGCGGCCCGGCACGGCACGGTGGGCACGGCGGGCACGGTGACTGCCTTCGCACTGTCTTCGCGGTGTCTCTGCCGCGCCACAACGTCAACAAAGTGGCAGACACCGGACGAACATTCGGCAGTTGCGTTTCATGATTCAAAATTAGGCAATTTTCGTCAGGCAGACAAAAAACACTGCGAGAAAGAAAAAACAGAACTCAAGGGCAAGTGTTTTCTTTCGAGCGCTATCTGGTTTTACACAAAAAGTAATGAAAGAAGAGAACTATTGCAAATTTGATTTTCTACCGGTGCATGTCTTATTGTCGGTGCAGTCCGAGGCCCGGACACGGCCGGACAGGACAGGGTACCTGGTAGTTGTCGCTGGATCGGTCCGACAGCACCAGCTTGTCCGCGAGCTGGACGTGAGGGTCCAGCATGATCTTGTGCGTCGTCTTGCCAAAGGTCTCTCCGATGCGGTACCGGTACTGCGGCACATAGCCGGTGTACCTGCACCACGCGTAGAATGCACATCAACCTCTCAAAAACACCAGCAAAAACTTTTTTATTTTTTCTAAAATGTAGTCATAATTTTGTGGTGACAGTAACGGTTTAGTAGTGCTATTCACTCACCCTGGCACCATCAAGGGCTGGGGTGTCTCGAAAAGTGCCACCGACATCTTCAATGGATTCTGTGTTCACTTGCAATTTGGAAAGGGTAGCTTCTTTATGTGTTAGTTCTCTTTTTTTGGTGTTTTTAAAATGTTTTTTTAGCCTCGGCGGGAAAAGATTACTTGAATTTTGAACAATGGGACCGAATGGGGCACCCCCTAGCAACCGCGCCGGTGGCGGGTCTGGGGCCTGCCGTGCCGGGCCAGGCCGGGCGGGCGCGCTGGCGGGAGCGCTGCGCGCAACAGATGAGCACAGATTGCCAACCCTCAGATTCTTTCGCCAGTTCGGCCGACGGGAACTAGAAGTAACTGGAAAGCATGGGGAGAATGCCATGGTCATGTTGTGCCATGCGATGATTGATATCTTTCGGTAGGGTCGCCGTGGAGTGATTAGGGGACAACCGGTAAAGCACGTCACAACACTGCCAAACACGCACACCAATTTTTACGACAGTTTTTTCGCTGCCCACCCTGTGCATTATTCACCCACGCCTAAAGAAGATGCATCCCCGCTGCGGCACTTCGCGTGCGGCCAAGGACTGCCGGGGTGATCTGTCGCCAGCGGCCACGGTCACGTCCACCCGCCCCGCCACCCGGCCGGGCCGAGCCCCAGCCTAGACCCCAGCCTGGCCAGCACAGCGCGCGTCAAGGAGGCCGTCGCGTCGCAAGAGCGGGTCTCGTGCCGCCGGAGTGCCGCACTGGTAGACAGGGCGGCGCCGGAAGCGACTGGAACCTGGAACTGGGACGAGACGGTACTACAGAGTACTAACTGTACGCGTCGCGCCGTGTCGGCGAGCACGGCGAGCACGCGCTGAGCATTCCGCCGTGCCGTCCGTCACGCACGCGTGTCGCACGCCTCGCACGCCTCGCACGGCGACACCGTTAATGAGTGTCGGCCGGGTCAACGAATCGCCTCGACGCTTTGACATGCACGTCGCGGTCAAACATTTTGCGCTGGCCATTAACTCACTCACCGGCTGCTCCATACAGCAGTGCCCCGCCATACACTCATCCCCCCCCCCCACGCACACACGTGCGTACGCACAAACCAGAGGAAAACACGCACACGCATAAGGTTCGTGGCCGTATACGGGGCGGGTGGGCCCGCTCACCTTATGCCATCTTCCGTTGCGAGCAGTCGGGGACGGGGCCACGGACGGGGCCCACAGGGACTGCAGGGGCCCAGAAGGTCCTACCGCGGCCCTGGGCACCGCGGCCCCGCGGCCCCGCGGTCCACAGGGGGCGGAGGGGCTCGCCGACTGAATACCGACTCGCGGCTCGTGGTGCCGTGCCGTGGCGTGCCGTGCCGTGCCGTGCGCTGCCATTGCAATAATTGTGGCACGACAAGACCTCGAGGACCTCGAGGACCTCGTTGGCAGACTGGCCGGCTGGCACACGACTCGTTCCCGTCGCCTTTTTGTCGCTGGCCAATCGGGATGCTCGACGGGAAGCTTGGCCGGCGGGGATTTCACAACGCCTACGCCAACGCCCCTGCCGGCGCCGCCGAGTTTGGCCGCCTGGCTGGGCCGCAAGAAATAAACAAAAATACTAACGACATTGACATTGGCTTGGCTGTGGCCCGGCGAGAAAGGCGGACGGCGGGCGGGCAGATGGGGGGCACCTCGAACGCGGAATCAGTCCATCCATCCAAGTTGCCTGGGTGAGGCGTGGAAAGAATGAACAGCTTTTGCTGAGACCAGGTAATCCTAGGAGGCTGAGTCTCGCGTGGTGGAGTGCCCACCAAGTCCCTTGTGCATGTGTGTGACTGGGCGCCCCGCCCCGCCCGCGCCCCGCCCCGCCCCGCCCCGCCCCGCCCGCCCCCGCCCCGCCCGGGCCCGGACGCATACTGTGCCATGGTGCCATGGGGACGCGGGGTGAAATGTTCCCACATTAGTTCGGAAAGTTGCGCGCGGTCGGTTTCTGGGTCACGGCGGCAGTATGAATGGCTGCTCCGGGATGTGACCGCGTGTGCGAGTGTGGGTGCGAGTCCCCACGGCGTGCACTATGCCCGGCGTTTTGTTCTGCCGTCCCGCGGTGTCCCGCCGGGCTGTACTATTTGTCTGGCTGTCCGTCGGCCTTCTCAGTCCCAGTGAAATGTCGACGCCGCATGATTGCAGGCCGCGGCGCCGCGTTGCTGCCCTTCTCCTGCACGGCGGCCTGCTCGGCCTGCTCGCGGCGCGGCGCGGCGGCCTGGCGCGCGCGGTTTCAAAAGCCCAGTCGAGTGGTGCGTGGGCGAGGCGCGACGGCCTGCTAGTACACTAGGCTGCACTGCACTGGCACACTGGCACGGCCGCACGGCGCGCGCTGCACTTTTGCTGCTGCGAAATTCTCCCACAGCGGCACAATATGGCTCATTAGAAAGGACACGCGCTCTGCTTGGCCGCGTCCACCCGCAGCAGCAGCAGCAGCACCAGCAACAACAACATCCAAACAACAAACAAAAGACGCGGCAGCAAGCAGCGTGCGTCTAGTCGTCGGACAACTGCCGGACACGGTGAGGCCGAAGTAATCCCCCTTCTGGTCCCGTTGGCACAAGTAGGCACACTGTGTAGGCACACAGTGTAGGCACGCTGGCACTTTGACACGGCGACAATGAGGCGAGGAGGCAGACTACGGCGGAGCCAAGCCTCGTGTGTGCAAAGTGCAGAGAAATTACTCGTGGAAAAGCCAACAGAGTGACAGAGGGCTCATTCCTTTGAGTGCGGTGAGGAACAGTCGAGGAAAGGGGATGCCATGGCCATGCTTCTCGCTCTGGCTGAAGAGGAAGTGGTGAAGGACCAAGACAGATCGTTCCCATAAAAGTGGCACCTCGAAGCACTGCAAGTCTCGGGTCAGGACTCTGGCCCGCTGGACCCCGCCGGACAGCAGCGAGGCCTGCATCTTCCAAGCGCGCCCCGGCCAGCCAAAGAGGTCAGGACGGCCGCTAGAGACGGAGCGCAGCGCGGCGCGGCGGCAGCCAATGAGGCGCCCGCACGGAAGGCTGGCACTGCTGGGAGTCGATGATGAGGGTGTTGGAGCTGCGAGCGGCGAGCTTCGAGCGCCAAGGCAGACAGAAGTAGACCAGCGGCCGAAGGTCGCGAGGCGATCCGTGCGGCGGGCCCGGCCCAGGAGCGTCGTTCATCTGTCTCTGTCGCACTCATGGGCCTCATGGGCCCGGCTGCGGAGCGTCGTTGATCTGTCTCTGTCGCACTCATGGGCCTCATGGGCCGCCTCGGAGCGGCCGGGGCCTGGACCGGGGCCCTGCTTGGGCTTGGCCTGGCTTGGCCTGGCTTGGCCACGCGGGGGAGGGGGCTGGGGACGCCCTTGGCAATTGGAGTTGGTTCGAGTAGGAGCCGTCGGCCTACATTGCTCGGCGTCGGCTCGGCGGCCGATGCCGCCAGGGAGCCCCACTGCCACGACGTAGTACGTAGTGGCCCGTGCGTGCGCCTCATCGCGCTTCCACTTCGCCGCGACGCCTCAGCGCCCCTCCCCTCCCCTCCCCTCCCCTCCCCCGGGGACCTTGGCGGTCGCTTTCAAATCGCCGGCCAAAGGCGAACGGGTGCGTGGGTGCGGCCGCCAGGCACTGCCGCTCATTCCGACGCCGTCTCTGTCGCACTCACGGGCCCGGCCGTCTGAAGGCGGTGCGAGAGAGAGAGAGACAGAGAGGTCGGCATGGCTCCGCAGCGGCACACGCGACACCCGAGAGCGCCCTCGCTTCGCACGCCACCCTCTAGGCGCTGTCCTGCAGCGCAGCGCAGCACGCGGCCCGGCCGCCCCGGCCATCGTCCGCGACAAGCCGACAAGCCGACAGCACGCGTCACTTTCACCCCGGCCAGGCCGTCAAGGCCATCTCTGCTGTCTCGGACTACTTTGGTGCAAAGCCGGCGAAGCCGGTGAAGCCGCGCCGTAGACGCGCGTGTGCAGGCGCAGCGCGCGTGTGCAACTTTGTAGCTAAGCCGCGTCCCGAGAGCGAAGTCCCACTCTGCGCGCGGGACACTGGAAAAAGCATGTTGGCAGAGACAGTATGTTATTTTCGGAAATACAACACTGCGGGTCGCAAGTGGAATGTCCTTCCTTGCCACTGACCTGGCCGGAGGGGAGTCCAAGTCCCTCTGCGGCTGGGAGGCAGGGCAGCCAGGGCGGGCCGGTCCGGCTGGCACGCGTGCATCCCGCCAGGCCGTCTCTCTCGCGCCCCTGCGCAACGCCCCGGGAGAGCGAGCGAGAGACTCAAGCGACGAAAGCACCGTTCGGAACCGCGAGCCTGCTCGGGGACGTCCGCGGGCGTCTGGCCGGCAGTGAGAGTGTGCGGCCCGCGGCCAGGGCCCGGCCCGGCCCGTGCGCCCCGAAGTAGGTTATTGGCGATTCGGCGCGTTGCCGCGCGTTGCCGCGCGTTGTGCCTGCAGCAGCAGCCCGCCGTCCGCCGAGCACCACGGAGCACGTCCGCCGCGTCGTGTCGTGCCTGGTGGTGCCCGGGGCGCTCCTCCGCCGGCCCGCCCGGCCCGCCCGGCCCCTACCCGCCGCTCTGCCGCTCTGCCGCTCGCACTCTCGTCGCGCCTTCCTCCCGAGCCTCTCGCGCCCCCGGCCCGGGGCCCTGGCGCCCTGGGGCCTGGGGCCAATGGGCGACGCGGCCGTGGCGCACACCTGCAGCGAAACAAGGTCACGGCGTATCACGGGGCCGGCCGGGCAGCGCAGCCAGCGCGTCAACACAGACGTCAACGCCGCGCGCCGCCCCGCCACTACACTACATGGTTGGAGCGCAAATGCGGTCAGCGAGCACTACAATTTTATGACCATTTTCGCACATCGTTATACGCGCGCTGTAGTGAACGCTTCTATTGTGCGTTCGCCATGCAGCTGTGACTGTCTTATGGTACTGTTGCTATTTATGTAGCGGCTTTGTGAAGTGGCCTTTTTGAAAATGCAACGGATTCCGACTCGATGGCGGATTAGCTACATCCAGTCAAATAGGAACGTGTCTCGAGACCGATGGAAACTGGGGCACGCCGGCAAGCTCATTGGGCTGTTCCTCGGGCTGTCCGGTCGTCCCACCGGCCGGGCCGCAGCGCGCCGCAGTGGGTCAAAGGTTGGCGAGTCGAGCCCGCGCAGGGCGGGCCGGCCGATCCTCCACGAAGCAAGCCACGATCCTGAACTTCGCCGGGCGTGGGTAC